ACACTTACCTCGTGGTTGACAGATAGTGCCAATGTCGTCATCATGATCACATTCTGTAACTCCCCAGCCTCTATGACGACATTCCTCAATAGATGACTCAACACCTTTACACGTCACATCGTCCAGCCATATTGGTCCGTTTCCTGATCCAATACGGACAAGCTTTAACGCCTTCTCATACCCCAACATCCTGCATATGACGTTAGCTTCTTTGATTTTCCAATTATAATCACAAACAGTACCCCAAGTACCATTATACTTGATTTCTATACGACCTTCTGATGCTACCTTTCCCTCAACGAGTCGCACATCAATTGGTTCTACAGATAAACGAGCAAAAAGGAAAATAACGGTAATCTGATTATTTACATTAGATGCCAGTCMAGATTCACAAAGCATAAGAGCTCTGTTCAAGTTTTTGCTGAATATCACAATTGGGTCGGAATGAGTGCCATATTCTCATTTTCTGTTCAGAAGTTACTATATTTCTTGTTCTAATTTTCTGCTTACYGAAGGTCCCCTCCCAATCTCCGCCTCTAGTTTCGTTTTCCCAACACGCAGAAGTGATTTGGATTCTTGGCGATCACTTGGTGGTTCTTTTACTTGTTTTTAATCTAATAAAGCTTACCTTTACTGTCGTAGCAAACAATTCCAACATCTTGACCATGAGTGCAGTCGTGGGTCCCCCATCCATTGTGAGAGCATTGATCTAGAGATCTCTCCATACCAGTACACACAACATTACCTAACCAAACTCTCCTCTTACTYCTTCCCCCCATGGGAGTATATGCCAAGCCTCTAGTGTAGCCAAGCTCTTTGCAAGCGATRTGGGTGTTTTTCATGCTCCATCCGTCATGACATATTGTTCCCCACTCTCCATTATGGAAGACTCTTAACTTCCCAGAAGGAAATGAAGTTTGAGTGCCAGTTCCGAGTTTCAATTTCGATGCTGTTTCTAAATTAAAATTAGAACACAAGTGTAATTCATAGTACGAAATAAGATTGTTTTAAAAATCTAAAAAATATATACATTACGCTTTCGCTGTTCTATCACAACAGAGCTGGGCTCTAAACTTGGTAAAAGCAAAGGTCGAATTGGAATTTGGAAGTTGAATATTGATGAAGTGCATGAGGTTTTTGCCAAAGAAAACAAAAAGAAAAATAAAGATAGGAAAGTGAAAGAAAAAAGAAAGATATATTGGTTTTCAGTTGAAATTTGGACTACGTTATACAACACAAAATTCGTGGTCACTAATCCTCAATAAAACGTTTTGGAAGACGTTTGGAACACCTCGCAGGACCTTTAAACATATATTTCATCGAAATCTATATTTTTCTAATCTATAATTAGATTAAAAATAAAAGATAAATGTACGGCACAATTACAGCACAATTAATGTGTGGCCAATGAAAAAGCATATAAAACAGAAAAACATGAAGCTTAGTATTATATGCTATGGGTTTAATTGAATTCACTTTGGTTCAATATTTGTGTTGTATTTCCTTTCGAATCACAACAGTTTCACAACGACTCGCTCACCAGTCTGCAGTACCAAGGTGGCCATAAGAAGAAGACCAAGTATGTATCGTCTTTCCATTGCAGAATCGATAACAGCTCTTTGTTACATAGGCGGAAAAACATTAAAGGTAAATCTTTTAAGTGGTTTTTGTGGGTGGAGAGACTTGTACTTTCTTCCATGCCTTCAGCAACATAATAATACATATATTGACTCCACTGTGACGTGCAGATCACGCGGTAAAGAAAGAGAGGAAGAAATCCAGGAGACGTTTTGGAGGGAATGTGGCTGTATATGTTCATATAAAGATATCACCGTTGCCATGGCTTCTCTCGAAATCCAGGAGGTTTTTGGGAGGGAATGTGACTATATATGTTCATATAAAGATATCACCGTTGCCATAGCTTCTCTCGTATCAACTCCGTCAATTTTTGACATCTGCTGAATGCTAGGCATATGTTGATCGTACCTATTGATGTAACGCAAAGCTCGCTCGCCGGAGAGATTTTTTCATCTGACTTACAAAAAAAATTTGTATTTTTGCGCGGCCGTATTAGTATCCTCTATTTATCCCACACCGTAGAAAAAATGCGATTGTGTATACAAAAAGAAGATATGATTTTTAACAGTTAKTTTGGCTGCACGCAAGCTACTGAATCGCAAGCACCTTAGTCACTTCCGGACATAAAAACAGTAGAGCGTCTTAACAAGATAGCAGGAAAAGCTGCTAAAATGCAGGTCATCAAAAATGATATAGTTTGTTTCCGTATCGTTATCGCATACCAATTGCTAAACCATTTCATACCGGCGAAGCAGGTGTTATGTTGTTGGTTGCATAGTTGGATGGATGTATGGATGCTTGTGGATGGGCGGTTAAAGGTATACGTACTAGAGCGATGAAGGGGAAAAAATAAATATGGGTTAAAGGATCGATGGCAGGATGACAGGGTAGGAGGATGGTTGCTGTTTTCAGTATAGTTGGGTGGATGGATGAATGGAAACATGGGTGGGGGATTAATTGGTTACTAGGATGGGTGGATGGATAATCGGACGGATGGACAGACAAACAGACAGACAGACGGAGGGAGGGAGAGATGGATGAATGGATGGATGGATATATTTTCAAAAGAATATCTCGATGGAAATAAACATTTGCTTTAGACAGCCTACAGTTTGTTCTCCACTCTAGCAAAGTTATTGTTCACATTCTATACAGATTACAGATGWGTCACCTTTAGTATGATAAAAAGCTGTAAATACTTTTTCTTAAGGCATATATGTACGCATTTTGCCAATTGCATATTTTGATATTTTAGTTCAATGCGTCCTATCTTATGTATAAGGCTGGTCAAACAGACTATGTTACCAAAGGCTCTAGGCTTACTCAGACGTCTTTCAGAAAACGCCTGATTAAATTGAAGTCTATTGAATTGAGATATTGAGGGATTTCACGGTAGCTATGTTGTTCATCAAATCAATTGAAATTTTCTCCTTGGCGAAACGAAAATGAGAACATTTATATTGTTTCTTTCCTACAACAACTGGCTCCCATGAAACACATCTATCGAGTACTAGTCTGTTCTGGAAGAATAGACTCTTCTTGCACGTTTGTTTGCTTTTGTAGATAAACAAATCATCGAAAATGACTGGGTGAGTGATGCTTCGATTCCCTAAATGAGTGATGGTGTTTAGCTATTTATAAGTCACGACTGCCTGCTGTAGGACACAGTATCACATACAAGGCAAAACCAGACATCAAGACATCAAAGACAACGCCGTTTTGCTACACTACTGGATCATAAGCTTAAGGTAAGCACAAATTCCTTACATTTGCTCTGATATTTTATAGACTTACTCCATAAGACGATCCCAGTTCTCGGATTTTTTTTCTTTTTTTCGCTCTCTGCGGGTTTTTTTTTTTTTTTTTTTTTTTTTGCAAACGGGTCCGTCGCCAAGTCGAGGGACCATCAAGCACAAAGGAGCAAAAACTACGACTTATAGAAAAAGTTTATCGGGTGAGAAATGGGATCAGGGGATTGGCAACCCCGGCTACAGGRCCAACTTATAGCAACAAAAAGTGGCGGAATATAAGCTCCATCAATGATAAAGTACCACCGTGCAGCCTTTTATTAAACTTTTCTTGTCGTTTTATCGAGTATCGAGTAAAAAATGAACAAATGATCATGAAGGGTAATTTATTTTGTCGTCGCTGATCTTAAAAACCCCATATCTTTCTCAATAATAAGAAAAACGTTTACACGCGCAAAATTAAAACTATCCCCTAGCGCTTGCTTTGCCAGAGTTTATGGTTTTTCGGTATGTTATTTGGTTTGGGAGTGGTCGTTAACTTCCTGAATCTCCTGAGCACRGTTTTAAGATCAAACGAAGGTGTAAATCGTTCTCTTTATCATCCCATCAAACTTATGATTCTTTAATATTCATTTGCGTGCTGGATGATCATGGACGACAGGTGGTGATGACATATTGCATGCCCTCCTACCGTTCTGATACTCTTGTATGCAGTGACCTCTCGGTCTGTCCATTATAAATGAAAGCACAATAAAAATACTCCTGTTCTTGATGTAGGATACTTTTTAGCTTTTAGACATGGGAAGAACTCATTGATATCATGTATGGGCTTGTGAGCGACCAGGAAAATTATCGTCACATGGTCCCCTCATAATTTCAGCTTTGATCTTCACCTTCATTTCAAAGCCATGAAAAGAGTTGATTGAACAAGTATTGTTTAAATGTAATAGTAATTACTATAAAAGTGTGAAATACTTCATGTTTTCAATTTTAGAAGTCTTTTCTTGCGAGGCGGACATTGAGATGTTCCAAGAGGTGTCGTGTGTTATTTGTGGTGTTATTTTTCCCGTCCTATTTTGCAACATAAATACGTGCGCTGTATAGATTTTCTTCAAACTAGGCAGACAGAATTATGACCATCTATTTACCAAGAACCTGAAGTTTCATAAAAATCCATCRATTTTTAAGCGAACATGAGGACAATGTTGTAAAAAACCACTGTTAGAAAATCGGCCCGTAATGGCCAACAACACTCAAAAATAATATTMATGTTTCAGCCACAACATGTGCTAAAATCAGAAATATCTGAGTTTTTGTGACGCGTTACGAGCGAGTTAAAAAACTGACTACATTTGTGTCATAACTGTAAGAAGCCTCTTACGCAAAGGTAGTTTTCTAGGAACTAGTGGCACAGGTTTGTTGGCCRCTGGCTATTAAGTGCTACCCTCTTAAAATCAAGGCCGTTTTTTTTTTCAATAGAGCTTTTTTTTTTTCAGGCAAGAAGTGTCAACGATGTCTTGTTCACTTATGTTGGCCGTTCTTCTTGGGTTGATAAGTGTCACAGCTGTGAGAGGTGAAACARCAAGCGCCAAACTCGAGCAGCAGTGGGATTCAGGCTTCAAGATGAACATTCGAATACAACTCCTGGAAAAAGTAACCGGAGGATGGAAAATGACTATAAGATTCACCCAACCAGCTCCAGGGCTCCAGATATGGAAAGCAAAGATTGTATTAGTGTCAAACGATGCAAAGGTTTATGAACTAAAGAGTATGCCCTGGAATTCTGACTTGGGAAAGTGCTCTATTTTAAAAATGGCGTTTCTAGCAAGTAAGTCGACAAATGGAAAGCCAGCACCAGATGCATTTGTGGAGTTTCGAAGAAACACTCATGTAGAGTTGAACGCAGCAGCATGCTCAACGACAACATCAGCACCATCAACAACACCGACAACAACCACAGCACCCCCGACAACCACTACGCCAATAACCAAGCTAACCAAGCCTACGACTAACGCTCCAACAACATCCTCTCCATCAAGTTCTTCACAACCAACAACACATCAAACAACCATGTCTCCATCAACCACTGTCCAAAGGCATACCACGACTTCAATGCCAACGACAAGACCACTCACAAGCGTACCAACGACTTCCACTGCTACAACATCACCATCACCGTACAATTACGACGAGGTTTTACATGCATCAATATTATTCTATGAGGCACAACGATCTGGGAAACTCCCTGCAACAAATAGAGTTCCATGGAGAGGTGACTCCGCTCTTTCAGACCGTGGAAATAATGGAGAAGACTTGACTGGTGGATGGTATGACGCTGGAGACTTCGTCAAGTTTGGTTTCCCTATGGCGTCTAGTGTAACTGTATTAGCATGGGGACTCGTGGAGTACAGAAATGCCTACAAAGCTGCCGGAGAATTGGATAATGCGTTGGACTCTATAAAGTGGGCAACTGATTACTTTATCAAGGCTCATACTGCAAAGTTTGAATTCTATGGACAGGTTAGTGAAATTTCGCCCCTGACATAAATATGACCTTATATGAATGCGAAAAAGAAAAAGCCACTGTACAGAAATGACTATATAAATGAAACCGATTTAAACACGTGAATCGTGATGACACGGTTTGGATATGTTCGCTCATTTTCCTTTTAATAACTTCAACAAGCAAATCTACAAACACATTGGACAATATTTGCACATGAGCATCGATAACTTGCTTTATGACTCAGAAAAACGCTSCAACCGTCGTGCGCAAAATTGCGCACAACAAATATATCTTCTTCAAATCGTTTGCAAAGCTCCTGGTAATAGAATCTTGTCCTTGATCGTCCTTAGTTAAATCACCTTTAAGTGTACGGTTATCAGGAAGTTGCGCTGTTTTTGTCGGTTTTCTTATTGCATATTTGATTGCAGGAAAAGTTGAAAACTGTTGCATGCAAAAATAGACCTTTTATGCTGATACGACGGCCGACTTGAATTATATGACGACAATGCATAGAGTGGCGGGGTTACGTTTTTAAATTGGTGTTTCACATATTATTCCAACTACAAGCAAATTCAATTGCTTTTTATATCTGCTGGAAAAGCATAATRTTATATAGAAAGACACCCTGACAGCTGTGCAGTCTATAAATAATTCAATAGTTACCCCCTCGACATCCCATAATCATGATGTCTTAATTAATACAACAGAATTCAAGATGGCCGYCGTATCTGTAAGAAGGTCTTTAGGCTGTTGCCTTGACTACCGCAGAAATGCCTGAAGATGATTCGATATTCCAAAACAGGCCTGTAATAATGAATATTCTTGTCTGTCACAGGTTGGGGACGCAGATGTAGATCATGCTTACTGGGGYCGTCCYGAAGACATGACCATGAAGCGTCCTGGATTCAAGATCACCCGAAGCAAACCWGGCTCAGAACTAGCAGCAGAAACAGCCGCTGCTCTCGCCGCAACATCTATTGCCTTTGCGCAAACCAACCAAGGCTATGCTAGTACTTTGRTGAAGCATGCTGRGGAAYTGTACGAGTTTGCTGACAAATACAGAGGAAAATACAGCGATTCTATYACAAATGCTGCAACCTTYTACAAGTCGCACAGTGGGTTCAACGATGAGCTRGTGTGGGGAGCCGCCTGGTTGTACAAAGCTACCAAGAAGCAAGCATATCTTGAAAAAGCTGAACGATACTACACCCAATATGGCATGAACAGTAAGCCTTGGGCTTTTTCATGGGATGACAAGAAGGCTGGAGCACAAGTATTRYTGGCAGAGATAACAGGCAAGGCAACCTATAMGAAARACGCYCAGACATWCCTAGACAGTTGGTTACCAGGWGGAGACGTTCAMTATACACCCAAARGGCTTGCATGGCGAGCGCAGTGGGGTCCCAACCGCTACTCTGCAAACACAGSATTTCTAGCRCTAGTCGCTGCTAAGCTGGGGTTGAAACCGCAGACCTACCGCGACTTTGCAAGAAAGCAGATCCATTACATGCTTGGAGATAGTGGACGCAGCTTTGTCGTTGGGTTTGGCGTTAACCCTCCACTTCGACCCCATCATGCTTCCAGTTCCTGTCCATCCAAACCCGCATCGTGTACCTGGAATGACTTCAACAATCCTGGCCCCAACCCACAAACCCTTACRGGCGCATTAGTAGGTGGTCCTGATAAGAACGATCAGTATGAAGATAAGCGGTCCGACTACATACAAAACGAGGTCACTACTGACTACAATGCTGGATTCCAGTCAGCCATTGCAGGGCTGAAGGATTTAGAAATACTAGTATGAACATAGGAATATAGTATCTTTCATTAATCAGGCTAGCAGTTTTAATTTAGACTAGATAACACTAGTGACGCACTGTGCACTTTCGGAAAATTACAATCGACAAGAATGAAAACATCAAACACTCGTCAAGCTCGCGATTTTCAGAGGTAAATTGATGAATGGTTTGCATTCTTGGATCTCAGATTAAAGAGAAAGTTCAGTCTATAGCATAATTTAGTCAGTTGAAAAAATTGCTATAAAATAAAAAAAGTACCTCAAAAGTAACCGCATTAGCACTTTAATTAACTAATTTCTTTGGATATGCTCTCAATTTCTGATGACTTAACGTAGGCAACGTGTTCCTTAATGATGTCGGTATAGTTAAAAAGAGAAAATATGGGAATGTATAGAAATTAAACTAAGTGCAGTTATTTCAAAAGCAATTTTCATGCTATATAATTTTATAATGGTCGGGCATGAGTAAGACAGCCCATAGACGCGCGATTTTTTCAATGTAAAGTTGTGCGCGCGCAAATCACCCCTCTTGTAGAAGATTGTTGAATAATGGAGAGTTTAGCTTCAAGAGCTTGGAATTTGGACTCTCCATCAAGTGTTAGTTCGTTGCGCGCCGTATCCTATGATTTTGGATGAGTTGATACAACCAGATTGCAACTAAACTACCTCGACCCCTGCAACCGTTATGCGCACGATASGTTAAAATGATTTCTTACTTTTGTAATTCTGTGCACTTCAAATTGCTTCTCATTTATTGTCTTCTTGATACGAGGCTTGTCATTGCGCTCTTTATATGACGAACTCGTGCGCGCCTGATTAAACTTGATATAGACTTTATCAAAATCCCTTGCTTCCCTCCTACACTATCACGGCACTCTGTTATTATTTTAKTTGATATTGCGATTAATCTAAATGATACTGATGTTTCATCCCCAGTATTTTTGGAAGAGGTTCTYGATGGATGTCTCGGCTGAGCATCTATATAAATCGATAACTCGATAAAAATTAAAAGAAAATACTGCTGGGATTGTGAGATGACTGGTAACCTTGGAAGTCTGCAGATCAGGTAACTGAAATCATGTTGAAGTTCTTTAATGCAGGGATTTGAAACGGGGCACTATCGCAGTGGGTGTACATATACAAGTCGCAATATTTGCCCAGATTAACGTTGAGCCGCGGGCGTGCTCATTTGAGTCATAACATATCAATATTAGTGAGGCATGCTGGTTAATTGTTAGACGTGGCACTTGAGTTAAAGCTTTTTTAAAATCTCAGCTTGATAAAGAAAACTTCAGAAACTTAAATACTTAGGGATATATTTGCCTCAAATGGTAACTAGCGCGAGAGCTCCATTTCTAAGAATTTARAGAAAGAAATATTAACGTAACTCAATCCTGCCTTGGTGACTGGGATTCCTGTGTTATTAGTCACGTGTACGTAATCACGTGTATTCTTCTTGTCAGAGTCAAGAACAAGATGGCTGAAGGGCTGAAGTTGGTTGTTCGTGGTTTGTGCTACAAAATACGCCCAAATACTG